GTAATGTAAAGGGAATCTCAGCACTATTTGGCCTTAATCCGGTTTCTAACTTTACGGGGCCTGCTGTGGTCCTTGTTGCTTATGGAGTTAGCTATCCTCGCTATGGCAAGGAGGCACATGCCAGGCACCTGTCTATTGAGACTTGCACGGGGCAAAGAGGGCAAGAGCGCTTTCCGTTAACTGCCACGACAGAGAACAAGATGAATTTGGATGTTGCTTTTTTAACACTGTGGGCGCTCCTTTCAGCAACCGGAACCTGGAGACAAGATAGGGGAAGCTCGGCGGCTGTACAGCAGGTACTGTATGTCCTTGCAACCTACAGAGTCTCTACCCTCGCGAAGTATCGTGGACCGGGTGGCAAAGTTTGCAGGGCAGGCATATAGGTTTGATGCGACTTTCCTCGAGAAGATGTGCAGACACTTCTTGATACTTTCAGTTGCAGAGCGGGCTCCGGCATGCATGTGTGCATACTTGAGACCAACAGTGTCTCAACAGGACATACTGGTTTCTACTCTTGCTGCTCGCTTACCCTGCCGGCAAGAGATATGTGTGCTGTCTCCACACATCCATGTCCCCATGGCCGGGACGTTTGCCGGCACTGGACAATTTACTGGGTTCTTGTTAAGAGGTTTAAATTACATTGCAAGAACAGGGATCTATGGTGAATAAATATGGTTTCCTTATTATTACGGTAACTTAAATTAAATGACAATTCCCTTAAAGGAACCCTGATGGATCCCTATTATGGCACCTTAGTTTCGATTCCTTAACAAGAGCCCAGTTTAGGACCGTGAAGCCCTAGCCTGGCGCAAACGACCTCACCTTGAAGCCTCATGTAGGGGCCTTAATAATTCGAATAGGGGCTCCCTTTAAAAAGGGGTCCCAGTAAGGGGGTCTATAAGGGATCTATCGTAGGGTTCTATAATGTAGGGGCCTTAATAATTGGAATAAGGTTCTGGGCCCTTGCTATTACAATTATGATAAGGAACTCTCCAAAATAGTAGAGGTAATTGTTTAGGTCCCTGTATTAGGGGCCTACCTAGTTGGTCATCATCTTCCCTTATAGTTCCTATACAACTACTGCGTAGTATACCCGAGTATTTCCTATGCGATGCACATTCGCGTTCTTTGTAGAGCTGGCATTTCCACAGGCATCGGGCATCAACAAGTACTCAGCAGCCAGCGACTAGACGGATCGCAACATGAACACATGCATAGCAATAGTCAACAGGCGAGCTCACAGGCGGGCAAATTCCTTGCTAGACGAAGCCAATATATTGTGATGCAGACGATTGGGTCGATGTTAGGGTTTAGGGTTTAGGGTCTAGGCTTCGGAATTCGGCATTCACACTTGCGCAATCTACCGGCAGATTTGGTTCTGGTATACCATGAGAACAGTGCTACGTAGAGGATCATGGGACTTAGTAAGTAGGTTGTAATTGGGGTTATAAGTCCGCTAAGTGGGGTTATCCTAACTATAACCTACTTATAACCTTACTTACAAAGTCCCATGAGCCTTCAAGTAGTCTTGTTGTCCAGGCCTCTGTGACACCACTGAGACGCAGTCTTATGAGACCTTGTAGGATGACCTTGTATGTATTCAAGCCCCTGCATTTTAGATCAGCACCTACACCCCATGGATGGATGACCAGCTAGCTAGATAGCTACCTGTAGTCTCCATTGTAATTCCTTTTCTTGGTTAACCAAAATCTCTATTATGGGATCCGAACCATAGAATTGGATAACCAAAAAAAGAAACTACAATGGAGACTATAGGTACACATGTGAACAGCTAGATAGCAGATCCGTAGATCGATGCCTGTAGCTGGCACCGCCCCAGCTAGATAGCAGATCCGTAGATCGATGCCTGTAGCTGGCACCGCCCCGCAAAGATCCCGGCCACAAGGGGAGCAAACGTAGCCGCGCGGCCTGCTCCTCCATTTCGAGCCGATTCACGGTTGGAGTAAACACGGTTTAGGGTTTCGGGTTTAGGGTAAAGCCAGGGGGTAAGGGTTATGCAAGTTGAGTGATCCTTGATTGGCATTCGGAAGTTTCCGAAACACACGGTTTAGGGTTTTGCGGGGGTAGGGTTTGGGATTTGGTTTTCCGGTTCAGGGTTCAGCCCACCGCTAAGCGATTCAGATTTAGGATACAGTAGTAGGAGGCTACTCGTAGATATGCCTGGGCTGAGTTTCCTAAGCAGGCCATGAGGCGACCATCTTCATTGTAATCGCGACAGCGTAAAGATTCAGGGTTGTTCAGGGTTTAAGATAGAGCGTCTTTTGCGAAGTCCTCGCTAGTCTGGAGGAACAGATGAGCTGCGAACGCTGTGGTAACAGGAAGAAGTTCGTGGACCTGGATTTTTTCATGTCGTAAGTTCGCCATCATTGTAATACCACTCGCTCTCATAGATACCTTCAAACCCTAAAGCAGAAAACCGCCATTAAACCCATGACCATCCATCCACTACGCCACCTTCGTTCCGACTCCGACCACAGGGGGACGTAGACAGGGCAATGCCTGTTCGAGTCCAAAGGACGCTTCCTCCGGGGAAGGTTTAGGGTTTAAGGCTTTCAGAGATGTTAACTGCCTCAGGGTTCGGGGTTGTCTTCTATTTCGAGAACATCGAGTTGGTCAACACGTCTCAGATTGCTCAGGGCTTTTGCAAAGGGATGTAGGGTGCAAGGAGCAGTGCAGTCTCTCAGAGATGTGGGATCTCCGGCGCGGTCTTTTTTTGGGGCAGGTTTTGGGGTTCAGGGCTAATCGTGGTAATCTTTGAGGGCTTTAGGTTAAGGTGTTAGGAACTAAGGATGCAGCATTGTTTCGGGTGCAAAGTACTGTGCTTCCTGTGCCCTTCAGGCCTTCACTTGATTGCCAGCATACAACAGCCTCTGGTCCGCTTGACTAACCTTTGATACTGGAGGAGCTAAGGAGCCAGGGATGATGATAATCCCTATTGAATAAGGAGCTAAAGAGCCCAGGGAACCTCAAAACCACTGGTTAGTTGATTGACCGCAAATTGCATTCCTCTACGAACCCGAAACTCTTGGACATCTCTGAAGTTGTATCATTTACAGTCTGCGGATGATGCAAGACGCACGAATGTTCCAGGTTCGCTCGTTCTTGACGCTTTACGCCCAGAGCCCTAAACCTCAAGCCCTCAGCCTTAAACCTTCAACCCTGAACCCCCAACCCTAAATCATGAGCCGTAAGCCCAGTGCCTTTAGCATGAGCTTTTCTTGAAGGTTGCTCAAGGTCGCCAAAATCTCCGAACTCAGCTCATCCTCCCTGCGCGCCTTCGTCGAAGATCACTTTGCATTTCATTTGCAGGGTTAGGGTTCCTTTAAGGGGATCCATTAGGGGTTCCTTTAAATGGGTCTATAGGGGTTCGTTTAAGGGATCTATAGGGGTTTAGCGTTTCGGGTTGGGGGTTGAGGGTTGAGGGTCGAGGGCTTGAGGTTCAGGATGAGGGTTGAGGGTTTAGGGTAGAGTGCGGCATGTTCCAGGTGAGATGTTAGTTGATGTTTTCGAATAGGGTTTGGGGCTTTGAAGTGAGTTTAAGCTTATAGTTTAGATTGGCGGCTGGGCATCCCGAGATCTGGGCTTCGGGAACGGCTTTGACGATTCTGCACATCGCAATTGTCGGCAGACCCCTACGAAACTATTCAGCGACGTCCGGTCATTGTCATGGCCCGGCAAGACTAGGTGATTTGCCGTAGCGTTTCTTGCTATCCCTGATATATGACCTAGGTAGGCCTTCGGGACATCTCGTATTATGGGTGGTTGTCAAAATTCGGGTCCCTTTTTGGCTCATTATTATAATACGGTATTTAATAATATTTAGGGTACCCAAAAAGGGACTATAATTTTGACAACCTCCCATACATAGCAGTATTTTACATGACGGGTCCAGGAGGATCTTGCCTACCATTGTTGTGAAAGGTCTTAAAGCTGGAAGCCCGTGACCGGTGGTCATCGACATGGTTTATATGTTTCTACTCTTGCTGCTCTTCCCCCCGTACCCCGACTAACAACAGAACCCTAACCCGGTATCCCCCAAAACCGAGAACCCTGAATTCACCAAGAAGAAGCCCTGCCAGGAATCCCGAAAGGATGCCTACACACAATAAACTCGCAAGCTCTAAACCCCCCAAGTCCCAAACTGCGCTATTTACAAGCCCTACACAAAGCAACCCCTCAAGATCCGTAGACGATGGCTCTCCAAGGCCCACCCATTTAGTTAGGTAGCTGTCAAAATTATGGTCCCTTTTTTGGGTAATTACGGCACTTAACATTCAGGGTGCCCAAAAAAGGGCCATCATGTTGACAACCACCCATCTGTAAGCCTTAAACGGGCCCTTTAAGAGGTTCGTTCCGAAGCCAGAAGCTTCAGAACCAGCAGCCCGAGCCCTAAAGCCCAAAACCCCTGAACCCCCGAACCCCCGAAACACCTACACCTCCTTACGAAACCCGTATAGATCCCTTCAAAGGAACCCTTATGGATCCTTTAAAGGGGACCCCTATTTATAAACTCCCTGAACCCTACAAGCCCTAAACCCCAAAAGCACTACACCCTTATACCTTTATAGATAACTTTAAAGAAACCCTTATGGATCCCTTTAGAGGAACCCCAAGGATCCCTTTCAAGGAACCCCTTATGGATCCCTTTAAAGGAACCCCTTATGGACACTTTATCAAAGAAACCCTGATGGATCCTTTGAAAGGAAGCCCTTTAAGGATCCCTTTTAAAGGAACCCCGTATGGATCCCTTTAAAGGAACTCGTTACGGATCCCTTCAAAGGAACCCGTTATGGATCCCTTCAAAGGAACCCTTATGAATCCCTTTACAGGAACCCGTTACGGATCCCTTCAAAGGAACCCTTATGGATGCCTTTGAAAGGACCCTTATGGATCCCTTTAAAGGAACCTTAGCAAACCCTGCTGGATGCCTTCAAAGGAACCCTTATGGATCCCTTAAGGAGCTTTCGTGTATCGAGGCCATGGCTGCTAAGATCAAGCAGATCCGCGCCCGCGAGATCTTCGACTCCCGTGGCTTTGGCTGCAGTGATTTGATTTGTTATAAGGGCTTTAGGGTTGTATGAGTTTGTTAGGGGTTTTAGGGTTTTATGGTTTTTCAAGGGATTTACGTAGGTGTTTAGGGTTTAAGGCTTAGGGTTTTCGGGTTCTTGGGTTTAGGATTGTAGGGTTTTAGAGTTCCGGATTGGTGCTTTAGGGTGTTTGTTTTGAGGTTCAAGGGTTCGAACGGGCTTTAAAGGGATTCGGTAAGATTTCCATCATGGCGTTTATGAAGTTCTCAGAAGGCTGTGATAAAGGCTGTTTATAGGATGGCAGGGAACTTATGACAGAGCTGTTCTATAGGGCTTCACGGTTCTAGCTTTTGTTGGTGTCTGTCCAGAAACAGCAACGGTATCCAGTGTAACTCTTGGCGTTATTGGAATCAGCTTCTTTGTTGTACTTTGTTGCGGGGTGCGGCCAGGGAGTCTGCTTTCAGGCTGATGGTCGCGGGATAGTGAGTTTAGGGGGCTTGAGGTTAGAGCTGGTGTAGGTTCGGGGCTGTCGAGCTCTAAGCGCCCCCCTCAACAACAAACACGATGCAGGATCTGAGGTTGCGGGATTTTTGTATAGCATCTCCGTTCGTGCTACGAGCACCAAAAAGGAACGCGCGGCTCTTGCAAGTATATCTATGGCGATTTGCAGGTCTACATGTGTCGCCCTCGTTTAGAGGGGATACTAGTACTAGCGGTTCTGACTTCTGTGAACATGGGCGTGTGAGCAATTAATAATATTCAGTTTTAGGCCTCAGACTTCATCATTCAATTCATGCTATGGTGTACCCTTCAGCCTTATTCCAATGATCCACGTCCCTATACTAAGCCCTAATACTAAACTCTGTAGCTTAATGGAGCTTTTTGGCTAGTCTCAGGATTAAGGCCACGCCCCATGAATATAGAGGTCTTAAGCATTTCCTGGACTATTTTGTAGTTCCCTATTAGAACAAAAAGTATCATATACCAGCAAAATCCTTTTAGAATCATTAAGGACGGCCCCTATATTAAACCCTTATAGAAACCCTTCTAGAAACCTCGAAGGGGCCCGTTTTAGGAACCCTATTCAGGCCCCTATTAAGCTGGCCCTCCTTGAGCTCGTGACCTCTTGGAAGGTGGAAATCCCACTGTCGAGGTAGATCTCTGCACCGAGGACAGGGTTTGGGTTTTGAACTTATGGTTTAGAGTTCCTTTAAGGGTTTAGGGTTCCTTAAGGGTTTTGGGTTCCTTGAAGGGTTAGAGTTCCTTTAAGGCGAAAGGGTCGCTGTAACGAAGGGTTTTTTGGGTTCCTTTAAGGGTTTAGGGTTCCTCGGAGGGCTCCTTGGATGGAGAAGCAGGTGGTCGACATCTCCCAACCCAACTTTTATTGTTTTATTACCACTACTGCTCCTCTTTCTATGATTCGTTATGTCTTTTGTGTATTGTTGGCTCCTAACTAGAACTTAAGGTGTTTAAGGGATATCCAATTCCACCGCCACGACCCCTTTTCCTAGACCGCGAAACAGACGCTTTGCATTCTTTTGCCCCTAGCCCTAAGCTTTTAGGCCCTACTTGGAGGCCCATTGGACTTGGTAAGTCGGTTACAAGTAGGGCTATACTTGGGGTAACTCCATTCAGGTTACTTCTAACTCTACTTATAGCTCACTTATTTTTTTCCCGTGCCTCTGAGTACGCTAGCTTGTGGCTCTGAATCCTCCCTAAACCCTAAACCGTAAACCCAAAAGGGCTCTTCATCGTTGCGCCTTGCCCCGAAGCCCCGAAGCCAACTGCGTCACTGCACTCAGAGATCCCAATATCCCCTAACTCGGGAATATACTTTAGACTACAGGGGCCTGAATCTTATTTTTAGGGTATATCCCTCTATTAAGGTGTATTGGGGCTCTCTGGGCAGAGGCCGTTGAGCCTAAATCTCTAAGAATTCCCTGGTCATGAATGCATCTTAAGCTAAAGAGACCAGCTCCATATGAGTTGAGATGATATAAGGTACATCCCTTCACGAAGACGTGCCGAAGTTTCTGGGTCGCCTCGAAACCCTAAACCCCAAAACCGAAAAGCCTTAAACAAAGCCTTAGAGCCCTAAACCCTCAACCCCATGGCACGAACTCCTTCAGACGGCTCTCTTCCGTGCGGCGGTGCCCAGCGGTGCCAGCACAGGTCCGGGTTTCCGTGTGAGTTCGGAATAATCTAGGAACATGGTTAAGAAACCTTGGGTTCTTGTTAGCGTCCGTTGCATGGATCCTAACATTAGGGAGTTATAGGACCAGGGTTTCTTGATCAGGTTTCTACATTAATAGGCTTTTCGCTGTGGTAGGAGTTTGCGGTTAGTTTAGGCTTATCGTTGCGTTTCCGTGTTTCAGGGCGCAGGGTCGAGGCAGTAGGCCCAGGGTAATGTTCAGGTTTCTTGCTTGGAGTTCATCAGGCAATATACTACTGTTGATGATATAAATCCTGCATTACCCATAATAAGGAATATATGGGAATTATGGTATATTCCTAATTATGGGTCATGCAGGATTTATATCATCAACCGTAGCAGGGGGCACTGTAGGTTTCTTTTGGTTTCGGAGAGAGGCATGCGACACCCACCCCCACCCCGGAGCTGCAAACAGTTCGAAGCCTCAAAATGCCGTGGAAGCTTTGGAAGACACTGCTGTAAAGTTGGGGTCGGAACAATCACCCACATCATTCCTCCGGGCACCTTATGAGAACTATAGAATATCATACGCCAAGGGCTTCTCCGCATGATTCGGACCCAGTTGCGCAGCCGGAAGCATCGGTTCTCCCTCCGTCGAATCCGAAGGCATCTACGAGGCCCTGGAGCTGCGCGACGGTGTGAAGGACATCGGCCTTTCCGGCGTTTCCCAATCGAGTCTCTTTTGCTAGAAACCGACTATAGCCCTTAAACCCAAAGCCCCTAAATTGCTTAAATCCTAACCCCGTAACCCTAAACCGTAAGAGAGCCACGGATGGGGGGCCAGGCCTCAAAGCCAAATCCTCCTTGAACGGACGCTGCCAGGAGCGCCTGCTGGGAAAGGGTGTCCAGAAGGCCGTGCTTCTCATATTCAAGCAGTCTCATATAAAATTACCAACAGGGTTCCTTTAAAGGGGTCTAGAAGGGTAGTACAAGGATGTAATATAGGGGCCTAAATAGTTATCTATGCTTTTTTTTGGGGGTTCCTTATTGTAATTATGGGTTAGACCCTATTCTAATTTTTAGTTAGGCCCCTATTCTAAAGTCTAGACTCTAGACTGGTTCCAGAAGGGTTCTATGTGTTTCTATTTGGCTCTAGTAGGGTTCTTTTCTGGCCTTGAGCGTTCTTAAAGCTTGTTGCAAGGGCTTGAGGTTTCTGGTTTAATTAGGGGTTTCGCTCCAAGATTTCGAAGGTGCAATTCTCGGCTGGAGCCGAGAATGCGACAGAGCTAATTAGTCGGATCTTGAAATTTGCACGAGAGGAGACCGTCAAGTTTCGGGGAGCCTTTCACCTAGTTCTGCGAAGATATAATATACATTATCATATAGAAGCTTGTATATATATATATATGTATATACATATATATAGATAGAACTACCTTGCAACATTGTTATTTAAATTTTCTCGTTATGGTACAACATACCACAAATCCTTGTTCGAACTCTAGATATTGAAATTAAAGCCCTTGTAGTACTCTCCGATTACTTTTTTGTTTCGCGTCTGGCTGCCGCAGGGTATGCTACACCTTTTACCGTAGAACCGAAGCATTGGATAGTGAGTCAACGGGCTGAATCCATATACATATACTAAAGAGGACAGGACCTACATGGAACGCCGGAACAGTGACAAACCACAAGCAAAAACGCAAGGCGGCATCACGAAGCAAGAACACAAGCAACAGGGCGGCACCATCCCCGGGTCCCCCACCACTTCCTTTTAACGTTGTCGAAGCCGCAGCCCCCTTCATCAAAGCACCCGTATCCTAAACCCTATAAGCCCTAAACCTTGCGCTCAGGAGGTGTTGCATCCGAAAGGATTCTCAAGTTCCTTCTTCCATTCTTCGTATACCTGGACCCTGAGAAACCTGCCTTTTTAAGGTTCCTTCTTATGATTTCCTTATAGGTTGCTGGAGGTTAACGTAGTATACCTTAAAACCCGACTCTTTAGCATTCCGGCCGCTTTTCTAAGCCCTTGTAGCTTGTTTAGCGCCCTACTGTCCTAAGTTCCTCGCACAGGCCGTGGCCAACGTCAATGACATCATTGCTCCAAAGTTAATCGGAATGGAGGCTCTCGGGAAGGAACATACCAGTAGTTGGAGGGGCCGGGGACGTAGCAAGCCCGAAGGTGGACCCTAATTGGACTATAGAAAAACCCAAACTCACGACAGACAGCAAGGTTTCGCTAGGCTTGAGCAGTAGGTCCCTGAAATAAGCCTCTCTGAAGAGCAGCCCTAATAGAACGTTACAGGAGCACTTTAAACGAACCGTTGCCGGAGCCTTGTTTTAATCTTTAAGGCCCCTGTAGTAGGTCACCAAGCAGACGGAGATCGACAAGCTGATGGTGGAAACTCTGGCCTCCTGGATAGCAATTGAGTTTTAGGATCGTATTCCCTTATCCTTAGATTCAATGTCTGAGGCTTTTAGGGTCTTATTCCCTTATCCTTAAATCCCATGGTTCAGCGCTTTTGGATCCTACTATTCCCCCTTAAATCCAACGGTTTAGGGCCTTAGGATCCTATTCCCTTATCACCAAATCCAATGGTTTAGGGTCTAGGGCCAGTCTAGGGTTTAGCGTTAAAGGATAGCAAGTTTACGGTTACCTTAAGTGCCACATGTCTTAGGGTTTTAGGGTCCAAGGTTTGGGGTTTAGGTTTTTCGAGCTTGGTCAAGGCCTCAGGCGAAGGCTTACGCCAAATGAAGAAACCAAGCCTAGACATTACACTACACTGCAACATACCTCGATGGAAGCTTCCGACTGAACATTTTGAAGGCAGTTCGCAGAAAGCAGAAACAACGACCAAACGCCATAACTGCCGCCTGAGCCACTTCTTGAATTTCGTCTAGCTTGAGCCCTTTCGGTCTACTTTTGAGTCATGTGCCGAGTTGTCTTGAAATCAAAATACCCCACAAAACTATGCATGAGAGGGTTTCGAGCGTCTATAGGTGTCTTCTGAGGCTTTAAGGGGTTGAAAGGATTCTTCTAATGCTTACGATGTCTTACCATACTGTAGACACGGTTCCTCATTCATGGGGTTTTAGAGTCGCTTGGTGCCCGTATATCAAGCCCTGAACTTGCCCTGAACCCTGAACCCACCCGTCGCAGCCCTTCATGCAAACAGAAAGCAATATACCCGAAAACTAAACCTTGTTCTATCTATCAAGCTGCTACGCTAAAGTATTTATAACTAGGAACAAGAGTAGGCCCTTGTTCCCTTCTCTGGGGTTTAGGTTCCCTTATAACACCCTTTAACTCGAAAAGGGCACCCTTTGTATTCCTAGGTTACTCTTAGGTCTAGTTCCTATGTCGCCAAGGACGGGTCTCAGAACGAATGGGGATGGCGCGGGACTCGGTTGATGGTTTCCCTGGAATGTCGGACATGAGAGTGCAGACGCTGTGTGGTGGTAACAGAGGGTTGATGATTTAAATCCTTCATGACCCATGATAAGGAATATATCATAATTCCCAGATATTCATTATGATGGGGAATGCAGGATTTGTAACATGAACCGTAGGGTTCAGGTTTCAGGGTTTAGGATTCATGATTTTATTGTTTAGGATTTAGATGTGGTGGGAATCTAGCGCTCGGAATAGATAGTGACGAATGTTCTCGTATAGTCCCACCAGAGCGATTACCAAGCTCGGTTCTAACCATTCAGGCCCTCCCTAAAAAGATGTTTTGTCTAGCATTTCTGGATCATGAGCAGGGCAACAGCATGTAGTGCATGCGACCCGGAGCCCTGAACTCGAAAGCGCATGAAGATTATATAGGGGCCTAAACTATTACAAATACTCTTTTGGGGGTTCCTGATTATTCTACTTATAGTATACTGGGCCCCAAAACCCTGTTCCAATTATTAAGGCCCCTACATTAGTTTAGCTGGTGGGCTGCCACAAGGCTCAGGGCATTTGTCGTCTGTTCCCTTTGTCCGAGACATTTCCTAGATCCTGAAACTGCTTGCCCTTTGCGGTTTGCACCTCAGGTATTCCCCCCTAAAACAAGAGAACCCCTGGACCCCCCCACACCGTCAGCCGAAAAAAACAGAGGAAAGGCTCCTTCACCCTCGACCCTAAGACACTCCAGATACCTCGAACCTCTAAAGCCTAAACCGGGCACCCTAAACCCTAAAACCAAAACCCTAAAACCCTAAAGCCCTAAAACCCTAAAACCCTGAATCCCTAAACCCTGCACCCTAAACCCTCAACCCGAAAATTTCAAACTCTCAGGCCGCTTCAGCCCTGAGCTCAAAATCCTGATCCCCCCAAACCCCGAGACCCGAAACTCAAGATATGGGAGTTTCCGAACATGAGAGGTACCTTATTTTGGGGTCCTTATGGTACTATATCAGGGTCCCCTATTTTGGGAAACTCCCATATGGGTAGTTGTCTAAATTAGGGCCCGCTTAGGGTCCTGTGGGTTTAGGGTTTGGGGTTTAGGGTCCTGCCCCACTCCCCACTATATATTGGGATCTGAACAGGGGCCCTAGCTCTAATTTAGAGAACTACCTATCCCCAAAACCCGCAACTCAAAACCAGAAAGCCCTAAACCCAAATTTAACCCGAACCCTTAAAGGAGCTCTTGAAATAAACCCCGATCCTGGCATTGAGGTCCAAGGCCAAACTAGGAGCCAATGCTGTGTTGGTGGCCTGGCCGCAGCAATTTTCGGGGGACGTCCTAACCTATATAAACCCTATAAACCCTAAACGCCATCCCAAAAGACCCCAAACGTTCCGTAAGCGAACCCTTAAACGGGCCCTTCACGGGACCCTGAAAGGGTTGTGGGGTTCGGACTTTTAGGGCTTTAGGGCTTACGGGGTTAAGAGCCTCAGTGATTTTTTTTTCAGGGCTCTGGGTTCGAACTTGTTTTTGGGTTTCCGGGCTTAGTGTGTTGGTTTTTTTGCACCGCGGTGTAGGGTTCCTCATTCAGCCAACGGGGAGTCTTCAAAATCAGATTAACCCTCAACCCTAGACCCTAAAACCCTCAACCTTAAACCTTATACCCCTAAACCCTAAACCCTCAACCTCAAACCCTAAGCCTTAAACGCTAATCACTAAGACCCTAGGCCCTCAAACGGAAGCCTAAACAGTATGGGTCCAAGTACCTCTTAATCAACTACTCTCTCAAATACTAGCCTACGTAACTAATTGCTATCCTAAACCCTAAACCCTAAAGCTTAAACCCTCAACCCCAGATATCTATCATAAACCCAAGTACCTTATTATTGGGTCCTTTGGACCCCTTAGGAGAACAGTGAGGCGCCCCTGAGGATGATCCAAGCCCGAGCCACCGCACCGAAGTCCGCGAGGGTGTGCAAGAAACCCCGACAGGTTAGGGTTAGGATCTGGGGTTTAGGGTTTTGTAGGGGATATAGGCATACAGGGTATATAGGGTTTAGGGTTAGGGTTTGGGGTTTAGGGTTTAGGTTATACAAGGCATATAGGCAATAGGGTATATAGGGTTTGGGGGGTTTACAGTTTAGGGCTTAGGGTTTAGGGTTTGGGGTAGGCACAATACTGGATATGGTGTTGGACTTCAAGGGTTAAGGTTCCGGGCGCCGGGAGGTAGAAAGGGTGCAAGAAAAGGGTTTAGGGTTTATGGGCGGTTTATCAGGGATGAGGGTTTATACTCCAAAACAGCAGCAAGCTTCGGTGCGCGATCGACAGTTCGTTTTCTGCGATGAGGTTCCGTCTTAAGTTTGTCAACGGCCGGCCTAAACGTCAGCCATCCTGAACGGCCCGAATCCGAATCTAAATCCGTACAGCCGCGTCACCAAAATGACACCACAGTTACAGTAGCTCTGTCCGAGGGTGGTTGTAATGGCTTGCCTGAGTCGGGGCCCCCCGTGTACGGCCGTACGGCGGCCCCGTACGGCCGTACGGGCCCGTATGGTTATATGTGATACGTCGGGGATTATATGTTATACGTCGGGGACACCCGTGTACGGCCGTACGGCGGCCCCGTACGGCCGTACGGGCCCGTATGGTTATATGTGATACGTCGGGGATTATATGTTATACGTCGGGGACACCCGTGTACGGCCGTACGGCGGCCCTGTGCGGCCGTACGGGCCTGCATGGTTATACGTTATACGTCGCGAATATATGTTATACGACGGGGACCCCCCTCGTACGGCCGTACGGCGGCCCCGTAGTACGGGCCCGTGATTGGATATGTTTTATATGTCGGGAGGTTATGTTATACGAAAGGTGGGTTGCAGACATCGCAATAGAACATTGCTCTTAAGCCCTGATAACTTAAACCGTGGTCACCCGCATCCCTGAAAGCCCGAAAGCATAAATCCTAAAAATCTAAACCCTACGCCCTAAATCTTATGTCAGGAACCCTAGACAGTTTTCTTGTGTCACCGAATCTCAGGCCGTGTCCATGGCAGTTTGCCGAGCAGGTTGGGGGTTTCCTCGTTCTCGGGTTCTATGAGGCTTTCTTTAAGGGTTTCTATAATTGTTACTATGCGGTCTAGCGCTTCGTAAAGAAACCTTGTTGTTTGTTTCACGGATTTGGGGTTTAGGGTTTCGGGCTTCCGCGTTCTAAGAGCTTAGGGGTTTGAGGGTTCCTGATGTTGGGGCCCTTCGGGGATACTTTAGGGACTCCATGAGGGTGCTGTAAGGGGTTTAGGGTGAAGGGCCTTAGAGTTTGGGGTCCAGGGTTCAGGGTCTTCGCATGCTGTTAGGGTTTCAGAATTTTAGGTATGCCGTTAGGCAAAGGATGTAGAAGTGCCTCTTGCCGCTTGCCCGTTCCCCCTGACCACGAAGAGGCCCAAAAGCCAAAAAACACGTACATTCGGCCCTCATCCTTCAGACACCCGAAACCTCAAAGCCTCCAATGTCATCCCTTCAACCCCAAACCCGAAATCTGAAATACAACAGCCTAACGTGCTAAATGCAAAGCCTTCTAAATCCTGAGCCCCAAACGTCAAAACTAAAGCTGTTGCAAATTGTGGAAGGCTCTTCTTTCATACAGAGACTTTATTTACAAGTCTAGGAATGCATTTGCCCTCAAAATCAAAACCTTTTCAATTCCGAAGGTGCAGCTGCCAGCAGGATGCCCCTCTACAAGTATATCGCCAGGACCTTCGGAGATAGTGACAGGCATGAGGCTTGTTGACGTGTCTAGTATTAATACTCTTGCTCTCGCCAGCGATTTTTCGCTTTAGGGTTTAGTTACGGTTTCAGGATTCCGGGTTGTACATAGGGTTTAGAGCCCTTGAGCTTTGCGTTTGTTTAGGGTTTTGTTCAGCTTAAAATCTAGGCTCAATGGACACGTAGCACAGTTGGCCAGAACCATAGATAAAATATTGCCACAAGGGAAAGCATTTGTCAGCACTCCCTGCAAATACCAAGAACCCTCACATTTTAATCCCATACTGCCTCAAGCACTGGCCTCAAGAAGATAAATCTAAACTCTTTAGGGTTGATATTTTGGGGGTTAAGGGTTGACAGGTTTGGCTTAGGGCTGGGGCTTCGGGACGGAATTTACCACCAAGGCGCCAAAGTCCTAACAGTAGACCCGAACGAAAACATCCTAAAAGGCCAGCACTCCAGGCCGTTCACCCGCCCTGAAGCTCTAAAACTTTCGGGTCTTTGTCGATAGCAGCCACAACAACCCAGTTCCCCACCTCCCTCAGCTTCAAGTCGTGTCTGACAGAAGACGCTGGCCCACACAACCTAAGAAACACACCTGAAATCCTAAAGCCCAACCCAACCCGAAACCCTTAGCCCTAAACCCCAAAGCCCTGAACAAAAACTCGAAACACAGCCATCTTAAAGCTGCAAACCCTCTCCTCTTCAACCGGCAAGCCATTCCAAGTCACAACCAACCTGAGACCATAGAACCTTGAGCCATAAATCCAAAAAACCACACTGACCCCCTGAAGCCCTGACCCCTAACGCCTGCCCCACACCCTAAACCGCCAAACCCTGAAGCCCTGTAGATCCCTTTAAACTTAATGGATCCCTTAAAGGAACACCCTGAAGCCTCAGAGCCCTGAAACCTGAAGCCTGCAGAGGATCTCTGGGAAGCCTTACGACAGCTTCGTGATGCCCGTCCCATCTTTCAATGCACTGGCCTGAGCTTTTCGGTCCGTACTGAAGAGGTCAAACTCGTTCGTCTTAGCGTGCCCTTGCAGTCCGCATATCTGTATTGTCTCTCTCTCTCTCTATATATATATATATATGTATATATATATATATACACACACATACATACGCACATAACATTGCATATCGCCATATATACATGCGCATATATGTGTATGTGCGTATGTATGTATGTATGTATGTATGTATATACATAGAAAAATAATGTACTTATACCGGTACACACTCCTATGCCCTAGTCTACGACTAAGGTCCGTGAATTCGGTTCCTAAACCCTAAACCCGGTTTGGGGGTTCCGGATCGAGGGTCTAGGCTGTATGGGTTCGAAGCCATGAGCCCAGAAGTACACACGAAAACACATGGGTAGTCGTCAAAATCATGGTCCGTTTTTGGGTACCCCAAGTGTTATTATTAGGTGCCGTATTATATTAGAGACCCAAAAAGGGACCCTAATTTTGACAACCACCCACATGCATGCATGCGTGGATGGATGGATGAATGGACCGATGTAATCCATGACTGAACATAAACTCTCATAATCCTTATAGACTCACTCAGATACATCTATACACAAACATCTACAGCTACAGTCACACACACACACACACAGACACACGCGCACATACACAGAGCCATGTCTTTTTCTCTTGTATTTGCGTTCACATCTCTCCCTCGTCTCTCCTCCCTCCCTCCCTGTCCCTCTCTCCCCGCTCTGAGCCCACTCCCAGTATGCATAGATTCTTCTCCTGAGTCAGCCTCCACAAACAGCCTTGGCCCCCACTTCTACGACCCGATTCCCAGGTCATCAACGGCGGAAGCCACGCTGGCAACAGACTGGCTTGCCAGGAGCGCCAACAGCGGAAGACGACGCCAGAGTAGAAGCTCCAATAGTATGAAGAAGAAGAACCAGCCGTGGCAGTGCTAGTACTAGCAGTATTATGTAGCAGTAGTCGTCGTCGTAGGTGGTGCGGAGCCTGAGATTTGCCCTTTCCTCGTCGCCGTCAGCCTCATGCTCATCATCTACTCAGGGTCGCGGGTTCGTGCCAATCACACAGTCATGGCTGGAAAGAGATCCGTAGAATGCGAGGTCATGAAACATCTGTTCTTGCCGTGGGCCTGAACCGAACTCAATCAAAGCCAAACCTCGACACACTTGATCCGGAGTATGCACCGAACGCCACAGTCTAAAACCCAAACCCCCAGCTATGCATGATATCTACACATACATAGACATACACATAGGTATATACATGTATATGTATATACCCGTATGCATATGGGTGTCCATGATGTATGTATATAGCTATATATGTACAAAAACACAACCTCAACCCCACAGTCGCCAGGGGTTCATGATCCTTCCGAAACCGCTCAACCCTAAACCCTAGTCAGGAGTTCATGATCCTTCCGGTGGGGGCCAGCTCCTTCAAGGAGGCCATGATCATTGGCGCAGAGGCCCAGTCTCGTTCAGCCTTTGGGGTTTAGGCTTTAGGGATTAGGGTTTAGGGTTTAGGGTTTTCGGTTCGTGTTGAGTTTTCAGAAGTTAAGCTATGCCCCAAACTCAAAATCCCCAGCCTTAAACACTGAAGCTCGAGGGTTTCCGGCTGCTTTCCATTTCAAGGGCGGGATCGAATCTTACACTCCTACATCGCACAAAGCCCGAAAACCTCCCTGATGTCCTTGATTTCGGACAACTTTAAGCCCGGAAGCACATTAATCCTGAAACCGTTTGTTGTACTGCAGGGTTCAGTGCTACCAATCAAAGGTGCTGGATAAGTTGGTGCTCGAAGTTGGGTCCTTGAGCCCACACTTGTACTTGGAGAGGCGGGGGACTTAGTAAGTAGGTTATAAGTAGGGTTATAATTGGGGTAACTCCATTTGGGGTACTTATAACTCTACTTATAACCTACTTACTAAGTCCCCGGCCCCTCCAAGTAGGATGCGCACCGTCTTGTGAACAGGCACGCGGCAGCGCACATGCATGTACCGTATTGCTATATATGCTTGCTCATACATATGGCGGCATTTATTTGTCAACCTCTTCCTCTCCCTGTATATGCCCGTATGTGTGAGTGTATATGTATACCCACATGCACGATCATGTCAACTTCACGGCGTTCCAGAGTGAATGGTATTCACGCCGACATTGAGAATAGAAGACATCGTTTCTCCCAGGATGAGGTGCAGCCAGTGTGCATATGGTCTAGGTCTTCAGGGGGTTTAGGGTTATGCCAATACCCTGAGTTCCGTAGCTCTGTGCCCCAAAGTCTTGACCTTGAACCCTGGGCCAAAAAACTCCACAGGCAACTGAACCTTGCATATGAGAGGTCTACCACAACTTGAAGAGCGTCATCAAGAAGAAGTACGGCCAGGACAGCAGTTCGTGGTTATTGGGTTCAACGGTCTCGTCGACGGCTACCTGCTTTTGGGAAGAAGGTTAATGGGCTTCGGAGTAAGGGTTCCACCAGCAGTTTGCTTTTTACGTGGAGATCGCTTGAATCCTCAAGAGGGGCGAGCTGCAACTACGCAGCTCTTTGGGGGAACGCATCTTTCACAGTCCCTGCCGTTAGGGTGTATCGTTCTAGGGATCGTCGATGTTGGGTTTAGGGTTTAGGCTTCGAAAAGATTCCTCGTCCCTTCCGCCATTCGGACCCTAAGCCATAAACCCTACAAGCCCTACAAAAAAAACCCTAAATACAAAACCCCAAAGCCTAAACCCTGAAGCAAACCCTATACCCGTTAACACGAAACCCTAAACCCTGAAACCCTAAACCCAATACCCCTAAACTTAAGCCCTAAACCTCTAAACACTCTAAACCCTTAACCTGCGCAGGATGCCTGCAACGTCGGAGATGAAGGAGGCTTCTAGAGCTGGGAGTGCTTCGAGTTCTGTTTTTTATGTCCCTAAGGGTCCATGTACCCATATAGCATATGCTTTGGACCCAATGTACCTATATAGGGAGTACTTTAAGGCCAATGTATATACGATATGAGTACATGGACCCTTAGGGTGTAGGCCTTTGGGACATTTTGTATTTTCCCTTATTGGGCTTAATAGGACCCTGTTTACGAATATTTTGCAGAGGCTTTAAAGGGCCAACCTAGTTGTAGGATTCAGGGGCTTTACTTGGTGCTGCGCCGCTGGGCAGAAGAAGGATGCTCAGTAGGGAAGCGGGAAGCAACCGGAGTCCGATTTCCTAAACCCTAAACCCTAAACCCTCAACCCTAAGCCAGCAACCTCATAGACCTCAAACGCCCCAAACTCTAAATCCCAAAATTGAAAACCCTCGACTCGAACACTTAAAAAGTTGGGAAACCCCAAACTCTAAAGCCTAAAATTCCGAAACCCTGCACCCTGAACCCTAAAACCTTGATGCCCTCGAGCCTACAGTCGAAAGGCTTTTGTCGTATCATGTAGGAACCTGATTAAGAAACCCTGGCCCTGTAAACCCCCAATATAGTAGGATCCATATTAAGAACCTTAAGAACCCTAATAAAGGCCCAAGGTTATATATAACCCCTAATATAGTGGGGTCCATCTTAAGAACCTTGAGAACCCTAATAAAGCCCCAAGGTTTCTTAATCAGGTCCCTACATCAGGGTTTAGAGGACCATGCAAGAGTCCCTACTCCCTGAATCCTAATCCCTACACCCTAAATAAAATAAGCTACCTTGTAAGGACCATAGTCAGCAACCCTAAACAGGGTAGGTAGGTTCTTTGGGGTCCGGGGACTTAGTAACTAGGTTCTTGAACAAGGTAGCTATATGTAGAAGTACTTATAAGCCCAATGAAAGCACCTATAACTTATAGCATTACTTACTAAGACCCATGATCCTCTGAGTATGCTTAAGCTTTTTGGATCCCCAGCAATTGATTTGATGGTTTGCGCTTGGACTCGGGGCTCCATGGCCTGACGGGTGCCTCGTCTCGGTTGCAGCACCGGAGTCTCAGCAGAGCGGTTCGACAGCCATTGGAGACAGTGGACAGCGGGAAAGGCGCGAGCTCCAGCCTTCGCATTTTTCGGTTTTGACGCACGCCTGCAGACTCGTAGAAGCAGATGAGGAGGCAGACAACCCCGCAAGAATTTCCAACCCTTTAAGGACCCCCGCAAGGAACCCCTTAAGTTACTAATTAAGCCCCATGGTTCTTTAAGTAGGGACTATCTGGACCCTAAGCCCCTACACCCTTGATTTCCAAAGAAGCCCTTAAACCAGGTTGGGATTGATTATGATCCGGTTGATCATATAAATCCTGCATGGCCTTAAGTGCCCTTAACTATGGGAATTATGGTATATTCCTTATATTATGGGTAATGCAGTGTTTGTATCATCAACCGTCCTTCAAGCAGGCTTTCATGTTGGGAGGAAGAGCCCGGCTGTTCACCCTCAGGGTCCAAAGGACTGAAGATAGGGTTTAGGGTTTAGGGTTTAAGGGCTTCTTGCGAGGATTCTATAATAGGTGTCTAATACTGTCTTGATAGTCCAGAGGACCTAGTACTTGTCTACTTGGGTTTAGATAGTAGGTTTGGAAAGTGCTTGGGGAGTATATGATTACTATGTATGTACTTGAACCCTTGGGTTTAGGGGCCAGAAACGGTTCTTTGGTTCTAAGGGGGTTCTGTACGGTGTTATGATAGATGAGGTGTTCGGTTCGAACTAGACGGTTCAGGGACGCAAGTTTGAAGCTGTACGGTTGAAGTGGAAGCTGTTGTAGGTTGTGCTCGGGGTTTTAGGGCTTCAGTGTTGAAGGCATCATCTATCTATGGAGCTCATGGTTGAAGGCGCAGGGAACAGCACTAATTACTACAGCGAGTTACCGTGCAGGTTTTGCTCCAAGCGTCCAAGACAACAACGAGGCCGGGCTTGATTACAACGACCAAACTCGCTGCTGATCGCTCAAATTTACAGTAGAAGCCCAAAAGTTGGAAACCCCATAGCCTCAATCCTTAAGAGCAATGTATAGGGAGTCCCAGCACCATTTAGCCTCAATCCTGTTGCCAGGTTTATGGGGTTTACTGTAAACTCAGCAGTCAGACGGAACTCTAAACACTTGTTATCCTAGGATGCCCACAGTGTAGATCCGTCACAGAAGCCGTGCATCCTGAACCCCAACCGCCCCAACCAAAAGCCTCATATAGAAGCCTGAAAAAGTAGTAAGACTTGTTTTCCATACTGTTCCTTAGGCTCCCTTGTTATGATCAGTTTACCATTTATCAACGTTTCGAACTATTAAGGCCCCTACATCAAGCCCCAAGCCTAAACCTTTGACACCAAAACCCAAAAGAAGCACAAAACCCTCAGATTCCTATGACAGGCGTCTGAATATTTGGTTATAATTGCATCCCCTTGTAGTCCCACATGCACTTATACGAAACCGTATAAGCCCTAAACCCTAAACTCAAACTATAGCAAAGGCCTTACTAAACGTATTCAGCCACGGGTTACGAAGCCGTGGATCGACCCACCCTACACAAAGATCCCAATATCCCTTAATTCAGGAATAAACCGTAGACCATCATATGAAGGCCCCTATAATTTATTGTATATTCCTTAATTAAGGGATGTTGGGTTCTCTGAGTACACCCTAAACAAACCTCAACAGCCTACACCCCAAACCAGAGACCCCTAAACCCCTAAAGCCTAAGCCCTAAACCCATAAACCTCTAAACCGTAAAGCCTTAACCCATAAACCTCTAAAGCCAGAAACCCTAAACCCCTAAACCCTAAACCCTACACCTTACACAAACCTCTAAAGCATTAAACCTTAAAGCCCTAAACTCTGAACCCTACACCTTAAACAAACCTCTTAAGCCTTAAACCTCAAAAGCCTTAAGACTTCCAGGCGCTTGATGTGCTCATGGAGGCGATCGAGAAATCTGGCCATGCCGGGAAGGTGGGACGGGGTCTCCTTTCTTTGGGGGAGGCTTAGGGTTGGGGTTTAGGGTTTGGGTTTGGGAGGGGGTTAGAGTTTCGTGGTTATTTTTTTTTTGATCGGGGTTCAGTTAGGGTTTTACGTTTTGGGGTTTAGGGGTCCTTTTCTTTGAGCGCTCCGTGAAGGTTCCTGACCTTTGAAGGTTCCTTGGAGGGTACTTTGACTAGGTTCCTGAGTAGTGCTCTTTTGCCCTTTTTGGTTTAGGGTCTCCTTATTCAAACCGAATAGTAGGAAAAAGGGTAGCCTTATTATACAGGGGTTACTCAGAAACCAAGTTGATGGAGCCTCTGAGGGCAACTTAAGTGTTCTTGTGAGGGTACGCTGCGGGTTAGGGTTTAGGGTTTAGGGTTTAGGGTTTAGGGTTTAGGGTTTAGGGTTTAGGGTTCCTTTGAGGTTTGGGTTCCTGTTAAGGCTTCCTGTAAAGGTACGGTAGGGTGTCCTCTAACTTACCTTTGGTTAGTAGGGAATGAAGGAATGGGTACTATTATACTATATATTACTATCATTCCTTCATTCCCTACTAACCAAAGGTAAGCTAAAGCTTCCTGAGGGTTGTCTGTGATGGTTCTACGAGGGTGCTATCTGTGTTCTCCGGGGCAGGGAGGAGGTTTCCCTTGCACCAATCATCTTCGTTTACTCGTTTGGGGGTTTAGATTTTAGGGTTGACCTTCATTGCTCTTTTTTCTGTTTTGTTTTTCCCCTTTGCGATTCGTCAGTGGTTGGGTTTGGGTCCAGCATAACTCTCGCTGAGGATTGAGAGGTGAGGTTGAACCTTCAGAACGTTACCTATGCAGTATCTTCCGTTTTTGTGACTTTGGGGGTTGTCAGTCAGCTGCCAGATGTTTCAGAAGTTTCATGGTGCAGGGTTTAGGGTTTAAAGGTTCCTGAACCCTAAACCGAAACCCTAAACCCCCACAGGTTCAAGCGATTTTACGGTGTGCAGTAGGGTTGGGATCAACCAAGGTTGTCTGCTCTTCTCTGTAGGCATACAGCTTGGGGCTTAGCACTTGACCGTAAACCCCGAACGCTAAAATAAAGCCTAAACCCCTTTGTAGAACCCTAATAGATCCCTTGAATAGGAACCCTTATGGATGAAACCTTAAACCGCTAATCCCTAAACCCTATTGAGGGCTTCAAGCATGACCGATCCGGAGATGGGAGTTTCCGAAAATAGGGGACCCTAACATAGCACCCTAAATAATAGGATCCTTAGTAGAAGGACCCCAAAATAAGGTACGGTTTAGGGTTTAGGGTTTAGGGTTTAGGGTAGAAGGACCCCAAAATAAGGTACGGTTTAGGGTTTAGGGTTTGGGGTTTAGGGTTTAGGGTAGAAGGACCCCAAAATAAGGTACCCCCCCCCCCTATTATCGGAAACTCCCAGATTGGACTCTGAGCCTGAAGCCTCTCTGTGAGCAGAGTATTCGTCTGCAGCCGATTCGTACCACGAAGCTCACATTACAGTATATAATCCCTTTTGGGGCTCCTTATAGGGATCTTCTATAAGGGTGCTATAGGGTTTAGGGTTAAGGTAATGTTATACAATAAGCCACATAAAGTTGGATACCGGATTAATGCCAAATGACTGCCAGGATTGAGGCTATTGGGCTTCTAGCCTTTGGGCTTCTACTATAAACTGTTGGTGATTCGGTTGATGATATGAATCCTGCATTACCTTAATGGCCCTGGACTATGTGAATTATGGTATATTCCTTATCCTGGGTAAATGCAGGATTTAGATCATCAACTGCTTGGCCGCGCTGCATTTCATCACTGCAGAGTTTCCTTCGGAATGTTTGCTTTTTGGGTTCATTCTTGCTTCATTCCGACTCTTGGCATGTTGTGCCGTGCCCCGAAGTTAAGAAGAGTTCGAAGATTAGGGCTTCTGGTTTAAGGTCAGGGATCAGGGATCAGGGCCTAAACCCAAAAACCCAATAATACCCATAATAGTCTCCAATGTAGTTCCTTTTCCAGTTTGATGGTTAGGATCCTATAATAGAGATTCTGGTTAACCAAAAAAAGGAGCTACAACGGAGACTATAGTTAGGGTTCCAAACCCCTCAACCTGAACCCTTCAAGCCGTAAGCCGTCCTTAGGGTTTAGGGAACTGCAAACCCCAAGGTCAAGATTGGAACGGATGTCGCGGCATCTGAGTTTTACGGCCCGCAGCTCGGGAGGCTGCTCACGGTTTCGTGGGTGGCCCGCAGCTCTAATCTTGGAAGTTTGGACTTCAGGGCCTGGGGGCTTACTTGGAGGATCATGGGACTTAGTCAGTAAGGTTATAAGTACCTTAAGTGGGGTTATAAGTATAGTTACCCCAATTATAACCCCAGTTACTAAGTCCCATGATCCTTTAAGTAGGGTCTGGTGTCTAGCTACACCCCTCAATGGTATCCCTAAGCCCTCGATCTCTTCCATTGGCGGCGTAAGGTGTAGGACTGAGTCGGATCTGGGTGCCCCCAAATAGTATTGGTGATGATTAAAGCCCCTATACTCCTAAATCCTGATACTAGCCCCTATAGTAGCCCCTCTAAACCCCTTTAAAAGAACCCCTACCTAGTATTGGTCAATATGTAGGCCCCGGTATAACTACTCCTGGAAGCTCTTTTCCTTTTCCTCTCCTTAGCGGTCATGTAAGCATCCGATGCCTCGATCCCAGAAATGGGTCAGTTCATCTGTAAGGTTTAGGGTTTACGAGTTATTCCAGCTGCTGTCTCGAGGGCAGTATACACCTCCGAAAAGGCATGAATTTCAAAACCTGCTTGAGTCCATGCACAAGGAGCTGCGAAGCAAGGTGGATGCCTATTTTGCCAAAGGAGGGCCGTGGGGTTTGCTCCACGACGGGGCCTCCAGCAAAGACGAGCAACTCTTGATCGTCTTGGCCGAGAGTGCAGATGGGGAGGTCGTGTTTGTCGACCTAGCCACGGGCGACGAAGATGCCACCGGGAAGGCTTTCGGCAGCCTTGACCTTCCTGACTGGTGCTGCGAATCCACAGCGCAGCGTACCCGGACAACCAGACCGTACGCCACCGGCGGGGTCGCGCCTAAGAGAGTTCGTGAACCCCTAAACCCTGAAACCCTGAAACTCTAAACCCTCAACCCTCCCTGACCCTATAGTAGAAGCCAGAAAGTGGGAACATCATTATCCTCCTGCCCTTAAGGTAAAGTATAGGGGATCCTAGCAGCTCCTAGCACCAATCATCCTAAACCCATGTTCCAACTTTCTGGGGCTCACTTTAAGTAAACCTATATTCCGCTTTGGAATTGTTTTTTACTTTTGTTCATTTAAAACCCAAGAGAATATTAAACACTACTCGTTTTTATTATGGTTCTAAGGGGGGGTATAGAAACACTTCCAAGGAGCCGAGACGAAGAAGTACGACTTGGACTTCAAGAATCCCGAGAGCCGCTGGGATGCAACGAACGTGGGGACTCGAAGGTGGGCGTTTAGGGTTAAGGGCTTAGGGTTTAGGGGTTGGGGTTTAGGGGTTTGGGGTTTAGGGGCTTTGGGTTTAGGGGTGAGGGTTTAGGGGGTTAGGGTTTAGGGATGTTCAGGGTTTGGCGGTTTAGGGTTTAGGGCTTTGCTCTTCAGGGATAAGGGAGGCAGTGTTTTGCTTTAAAGGGTTTCGTAGGGTTTTGTAGGATCGGGTGCTGTTTTTGGGTAAATGACCTCGAGGCCCCGACAGTATGAAGAAGACAGCGGAGGAGATGATCGCGTACTACAAGGCGGGTTCAGGGTTAAAAGCTGCAGGGTTGAAGGTCGGGGTTTCTGGGTTTAGGGCTTATGGCCTGACTCTGCACCCTAAGCCCTAAGTAAAGAAGCCCTAAGCACACTGAGCCTTGCGCCACCTCGCGGAACCCGGAAAGAGATCCTAATTTGGAGCAACTAGGCACAGAGATTCCCAAAAGGCCTCTTTCCTACCTACCTGCTTCAGCTTATGTAAGGAGGCAAGGAGCTAATCATTACCTTTTCCCTCAAATGCGCCCCTGATTTGAAGCCCCCATGCGAGGATTGGATCGGAAAGTATCCTTTCGTGTCCATCGAGGATCCCTTTGATCAGGACGGCCATGCCCGACCACGCCAAGAACCCTCAAATGGAGACCCTGGACCCTGAACCCTGGACTTCCCTAAATCATGAACCCTAGCCGTGGACCCTCAACCTATTATAGATTCTGAAGACACATACACATGCACGAACTGTAGATCTCAAAACCTTACCAGACCATCCAAAAGCCTGTTGTTTTTTCGGATTCCACCGTATAGTCATTTGGCCTCCTTTTGGTGGTCTTTGTCCTGGTCTTTGGTGTCACCTTGAGAGCTCGCTTGTCATTGATGACGGTCATTGTGAATCTTAATGTGGTGTTCAATTGGGGTGTAGTTTGGCCCGCCTTCGTTTGTTCCTGTGGCTTCCCAAAGCAGGCGGCCAACCTTACGGAAGGCCGCATGACGCTCTACCCTAAGCCTTAGACCCTAAGCCCCAAGCCCAAACCCCCCAGACCTTCCAAAACCCCTTAATTAAGGAATATACCTTAAATTATAATAGGATCCCTAATATGATCTAAGGTATATTCCTTAATTAAGGAATATACCTTAAATTATAATAGGATCCCTAATAAGATTTAAGGTATATATTCCTTAGTTAAGGGATTTTTGGAAGGTCTGGGCCCTGAACCTCCAAACCCCTGAGCCCAAGAGCCCGACAAGGGACAACAAAAGACAGCCAGTCTTTGGTTGAGGCCTAGGGTTTAGGGTTTACGGTTTAGGGGGCTTAGGGTTTAGGGTTTAGGGTTTAGGGCTTATAGGGTTTAGGGTTTAGGGTTTAGGGTTTAGGGTTTACGGTTTAGGGCTTGGGGTTTAGGGCTCAGGGTTTAGGGGGCTCAGGGTTTAGGGTTTCGGGCTTCGCGGTTTAGGGGTTTAGGGGTCCTTCAACCCGAAGCCCCCAAGCCGCGCCGTGCAGGACGACTGGGAGGCGTACTCCAAGTTCCAGGCCGAGGTGGGTGAGACCATCCAGAGTCTCGTCTTCACTGGTTTAGGGTTTAGGGTTTAAGAACCCTAACTCCTAAACCCTAAACCCGAAACGGTTTAGGGTCTACGGCCTAGGGTTTAGGAATTAGGAACCATAGACCCTAAACGATTTAGGGTTTAGGGTCTAGGGTTTATAGTGAGATTTCACGTTGCAATGTAGTGGAAACCGTCAGGGTTCTTTGCATGATCATTTAAAGGCTTGGGTTCTACAAGGCCCCGATGCGGGTTCTCAGATTTTTTTTACGGTTTCAGTGCCTACGTAGGCTCCTGGTTTGCAAGCCTCGCTTTCTTTCAGGGCGGACAAGAGTAGTGCGATCCCGCATTTGCAAACGGAGGGCCTGCGTTTAGCAGTTTAGTCTTTAGGGTTAAGTTAAGACGGCCTCCACTCGAATCCAAAGTTCTGAAGCACCCGCAAACAGCAAAGCCAAATATTCCCAGAGGCTCCACATATACTACCATTATGGAAATTAGGTCCCCAAAACCATGCTGAGAATCGTCTTTTGGAACCTAATTCCATAATGGGATTATGTACGGAGCTTCTAGGATTGATTGCAGGGGTTTGTTTTTCAACTTTGTGGGCTCGGGTCTACGCAGGCCCCGAGTTTGATGTCGTTTACAACCCCAGATTAACACCCTCTTGCCTTAAATTAGACATGGTGAGGAATGGGTTTCGTAACCAAAAAAAGCATTGAGTTCGTGAAAGCTCCCCTTGATCAATTCAACCCTCTTTGTCTGAGGGCCTTAACCTCAAGATCAGGGAATGGGGTTTCTTAATTACTCAGTTGTCTCCACTACACCATAAGAGTCCCAAATAG